TTTCAATTGAACACAGTCACTCGCCATATTTCAGAAATATCATCATAGGAAATGACTCTGAAAATGGTGACAATATATTATATTTACTGATTAAAAATTTGAATAAATCTATATTAAATATATATAAATTATTATTAAACATGCAATTTAAAATTAATTTGTTAAAACAAAAAAATAAATGCTTAGCTTTGTCTAAAATAATAATATGTGAATCTTTATAATTTTAGAATAATTCAATTTTTTTTCTTGAATTGATTCTATATTAGTTATTAATGAAATTATTCAGATCTTCTCTATAAAAGAATTTATAATAATTTTCATGTTGTTTTTCTTGCATTTTGATTGTAAATCTGAAATCATACTAAGAGATGTCAAGTACTAGTTCTGTTAGATATTCTAATATTTTTAAAAAATCAAATTGATGATAATTCTAAATACTTAAAAGCAATTTCATCATATAAATTTTTCTGTTTATATTAAAACAAAATGAATATTATGTCTTTTGATTTTTTATATTATTTAAGCAAGCAGATTATTTATGATATTCAGCATAGTACCACTATAAAGATAATTCTTAATATATTTATCTGAAAAACATTTTTCATTTCAACTATGTACTTTTTTTAGCAAATTCAAGTTTAAATTTATAATCTTTTTTATACACTGTGAGCACCAGATACCATCATTTTTTTACTTTATCTAGTGATACACTTCATTTATATTCTCCAATGTCACAAAGCAGATTTACATCTAATATATAATTCAGAAAGATATTTTCATTCCATTTTATTACAATTCAATTTTTTGCTATCAAAATATTTTAAACTTTGCAGATGAATCAGAAGGAAAATGAATTAATTCTTTTTTTGAGTAAGTACTAGGATTCTGAAAAAAGTCTGGTTCAGTTCGAGTCTGATTCAGTTTGAGCTTGAACCAGACTCAAATCTGACAAAAAGTCCAGTTCAAAAATTCGAATTTAATTAAAAGTCTGGTTTGAGTTCAGTTCAAATTTTGAATCAGACTCAAACCTGACTAAAAGTTCAGTTCAAGTTCAAGTAATTATTAGTTAATGTCCTAAGTAAAGTTGTAGATCATAGCATGAGCTACAAATTGATATAAAATAGTTAATATTTAGGATAAATATTTAAGAAGTTATATGAATTTAAAAAATAATTTTAATTATTACAATTTTAATCTACTTTAGTTTTAGTATAATAAACATTTATTTTGCTATAGTAATCATAAATTACGGTTATAAGTAAAGTTGTAGCCAGAAATAAAAGCTACAAATTGGTATAAGATAGTTATCATTAATAATAATTATTCAGAGAGTTATATAGTATTTACAATCAAATTTAATAAATGTAAAAATAAAAATACTTTAGTTATCATTATGTAAAATTTTAATTCTTACTAAACACCATAAATTGTGCTTATAAATAAAGTCGTAGCTTATATTAGAACTACAAATTGGTATATGATACTATATGCCAAACTTTAATCAAACTCAAATCAGACTCGAACTCATATTACAATTCAGTTCAAGTTTAGTTTGAACTTCAAATTTTTCTTGAACTCAAACCAAAGTCCAGTTCAGTTCAGTTCATAAGAACACTAGCTTAGATATTACTTTTATTTATATATTTTTTGCAAATATAATTTTTATTATAATTTTGTAAAATCTGATAATTAACAATGATTTTTTATTTTCTTTTATTAAAAATCACTTCATATTTGATTTTTTATTAGCAAATTAAAATTTTATATATTCTTATTGAATTCACATAATCTAATACTTTTTTTTATTATAACTAGAATACTACTATCAAATTTTAATATAATAAAGTGAATAAGTTATTAATAACAAATTTTAAAAATTTTAGTTTATCAAAAATTTATTACTATAGCTATTTCTGAAATAATTTTAATTTATCTGAATTTTATTAATGATATCAAAACTTAATTGTAGCATTATTAATATTGTCAATTTAATAAATTAGAATTATTATCATTACTAAAGCTCTGTTCGGGTTGGATCAGATCGAATTTGAGGTGATCCGAATCGATAATTTCGGGTCGGGTCGGATTCGGATCGGGTTTGATCCGAAAATCGTAAAATAGTTTTTAGTTAATAACTTTTACTTTTACTAAAACACTTGTATTTGGTGTCTAAGTAAAGTTGTTCGGAATGTAATTGTGTATATACCCACAAATTTTCGTTTAATTCTGATTAATATTGAACGAGAAATAATGAAAATAGAGATTATTGTTAAAGATTAATTTAAAGATTAAACTTTGGAAAAGAGCTAAAGCTGAAATTGAAATTACATGTAAAATTGCCTTTTCAAAATTTTTTATTAGTGTACCAAACTAGATCTAGGCATCTGTTTCCCGTATTTTTTACATTCTTTGCTTTTTTCATTTTCTTGTGTCGGATTTGTTTTGCCGGAGCTGATTAAAAAATTTGCGCATTTTTATTGGCTTGTGCCACCAGCAGATCAAAAAATTACGCATCCTTATTGGTTGTGGATAGGATATTAGTATACATCAGAGCCCTTACATGAATCACCATTATAAATAGCGATAGGACATTGAATATGCACAAATACATGTACTATGGTTGATCATTGATCATCGCTAAATTACGTACATACATGTAACACGAATTAATATTTATGTTCATCTAACCGCACAAACGATCACAACATTGCGATTTATTCCATTTTTTCACACAACAATACCGACCGACACCATACTAAAATAATAATGGCATCTCACTTAAATGAATTATGTCTTCAGAAAATATTCCAATATATTATCATAGACAGCGACGAAGATTATGTTCAACAATTGTTTTACTGTGCACTAGTCAATCGCTACTGGTGTATTAATGCAGTTCCTCTTTTATGGAGAAATCCATTTCGTAGATATACGGATCAATCGCAAATTATTTCGACTCTTGTTAAATGTTTTGAATATGACAAGAATCACGATCAAAGACCAGCATTTCGATATGATTTATTTATCAAAGAAATATCTTTACAAGATTTGGTTATCGCTGTTGATGATTTAGAAATGAATGAGGTTTTTGATAGATTTAAATCATATTTACTTAAATTAATCGATACAACCGAAAATTCTTTTTTTGAGCTCAGTTGTTATTTCGAAAACTTCGATGAAAAAATCAATTATGACAAATTGAAATTGAATTTGTTTCAATTGACAAATGCGAAAGAATCCCTCGGCAAATTAAAGAGTTTACACATCTCATGCACTAAGGACATTGAAATTCTCGAATCAGCTTTAAAAATCTGCCCGTATCTTTCACGTCTCGAAATAAGCGCCAGTTATGAGTTCGAGAGTGAATACGCGGACATGTGTCGGCTACTAGACTACCTAGATTCTTTCAAAAATTTAAGACATCTAAAAATTAATTGTGGATTGGTCATTGCATATGAGCATGGAAACGAATTTCTTACTAGACTCGGGGAAAAATTACCGAGAGGATTGGAGACTCTTCGCATTGAAGGAGATATGGATTTTTCCCCCGCATCCTTGGAAAAATTTTTACACGGAGCTAAACAAATACAATTTAAGTCATTGAGTTTTCACGAGTCAGAATGTATTATCGACGCTCATTTGGAAGTTATTTTAAAGGTGGTTAAAGATTCGAATTTACATGTTGGCATTCGAGAACTTGAGATTTCTTATATAACTATCAATCAAGCACAAAAATTGCAAGAACAAGATATTAATATTATAGTTGATCAGTATTTAAATGAAGATGAAGATGACGATGACGATGACGAGGATGATGACGAAAACTTCTACTTCGATTACGACGATGACGACGACGACGACGACGACGACGATGATTACGACTACGATTATGATGATGATGAGGAGGAGAATGATGAAGAAGATGAAGAGGATTACTTTATTTATACTCTATTTATTACTGATGATAGTACTCAATAATGATAGAGTTTTTAATAATAAATATACTGTTCATGTAATTTGGGATATTTTTGTTTTCAAAACTAATTGATAATGGAAACGAAGTATATCTTCAAGAGGGCTTAAAGTGAGAATATTTATTATTCATATATATGTTGTAAGTGGAAATGGGATATGGAATCGGCCCAAATTAGGATAGAGGTAGTGTTGCCGGATAAATTTTTTTATTTTCCCCGTTTTTTCAGATTTTAATCCGGTAATTTGGAACATGATACAGTGGCCTGCAAAAATAACGCACCACTTGCAAGCGTAGCGAAGGACATTCTATTTTGTGGTCACGTGGAAATTTCCGTTTGTCCGCACGCGTGAATTAACCAATTGCGTTCTTTGTTTACTAAAAAGTAAGATGATCGTCAGGAGTCTGAAAATTATTGGAAAATCAATAAAACATAGCTCCGATCTTGCTTCGATCTTTCGTTTTCTAGTTATTAATCACATATTTCTTGATAGGGCTGTGATAGGTATTATGTAATATTCTTGGAGAGAAGGGAAAAAGAGAGTAATAGTGTTTTATATCTTATATAATATAAAGTTTTTTGATTTCAAAAATCAAGTAGAATTTAAATGGATCAAAAAATTGATTTTTGATTAATTATGTGATTATCATAAAAATATGTTATTTACAATAATTAATAATCAATAAATTAACAAAATATGACTCATAATTGATCAATCAAATTTGATTTAATATTATTTGTTTTATTAATTATTAATTATATGAAAATAATAAATTTTTAAATAAATACTATAACTAAATATATTTATTATCAAATAGTAATTTTTTGTATAATTTTTATATAATAATTCTTTATCTTTTAAAAACATTTCAAGTAGTATTAAATCTTTAATATCACATAATTAAATTTCTCATAATGATTAATCAATTATTAATTTTATAATAATTGATTAATTATAAATATATAATACAAATCTATTTTAATAAATATATAATGGATAATATGTATATAAATATATATAGTTAAATTTATTTATATATATATATAGTGTTCCTATGAACCGAACCGAACCGGACTTTGGCTTGAGTTCAAGAAAGATTCGAAGTTCGAACCGAACTCGAACCGAATCGTTATACGAGTTCGAGTTTGGTTCGAGTTCGATTAAAGATCAGCATATAGTATCATATACCGATTTGTAGCTCTAAATATAAGCTACAATTTTACTTATAAGCACAATTTATAGTATTTAGTAAGAATTAAAAGTTTACATAGTGATAACTAAAGTGTTTTTATTTT